ACGAATACACTCATGTTTAGCGATTTGTTCCTAGCTATCTGTCCAAGATTCATATAATTATCACTCACGTATTTAAATTTTATTTTGTTAACCATTCATGTGTATTAGTAGTATTACTAAATTCTATCACGGTCAAGTAAAAATGAGGTTGAGAAAATCTCCCCGTAACTAAATAAACCGTATCAAACTAACTGGAACACTAGTTGGAATTCTTTTCCATGGTAATACTTTTGTTCTTTCAGTTAGCCTACTAATACAGATGCAATTGGAATTCAACGCTTATGGACAACTTACCGGCATAATCGTTATCTGATTTCATAATTTAAACCAAAACTAATACCAATATTAACATTTCTACAATATTCATTACTTTAATATTTCTAAACACAAAATACTTACTACCTATACGTTAAGTTATTAACCAACGGCTATTAACACGCATCGTTTTATTATTGTTATTGTAATCTCATTTTTTATAGCTCAAATAATCTTCACCAAAATTTTCATTTCAAGCGTGTTAAGCATGAAGGCAGATATTTTAAAATTATTACATGTATTTTCCGACCAGATGCTGCTGCTTTCATTTATCTTTCAGCTTATCAATACCCGGAGGATCCTTATTATCCTTGGTAACTTCCGGCGCGCGACGATCCCATCCAATTTGGTATCGAACCAACATCACGTTGATTCTGGTGGGAGAGTAGTGTAGTGCCATTGGACAATAGCCACACAATCCACAAAGCTGTGAACACGAGACTACTCAGAAAATAGATATTCAATATTTAACGCGGAGAAATACCTAACAATGGAGAAGGCGCGGACAATGAATTGAATGGACTGGAGTTGATCGAGTGGCATGGCTCGGCCATGCAGGCATGGTCCCTGCTGGATGTTATCTTATATCTTCTATTCATATTAAATATATTGTTCTTTCTCTAGATTAACCTTGTTCTACATCATGTATTGGTAATTGATACGATACAGTGAGTTGGCGTAGTCGATGGTGTGACTTCCACGTAAGATCTTATAGATTAGGCAGTTATATCATGACAAATCTACAAATTTAGGATTAGGTCTATTATAAGAGCAATACTAATATCATAGTAGACCATAATTCTACATATAACGAAGGTAAAAAGACTCGGTAAATGGGTCGGAGGCCAGACCCAACCAAGAAGGATCTTGAAGTTGGTATTCGGGAATTTCGACATGATTCAAATGGTTTAAATGGTTCAAATGGTTGTGGACGGAATAGGAGAAGCTTTCGCTTAACAGGCTTCCGTGTCTAGTAGCAGGGGATCACGAAATCCTCCAGGCAGGAACCTAGGTATGTTAACAATAAAAGAGGAAAATAAATTAGTAAATCATAGTGTGATCCTGTCCTTGGTCCTTTAGAATAGGTCAAGTTGCCTCTTGAAGGACTCCTGAGAAGTCGCTTGGACTAGCTCGGCCGGCAGCGAATTCCAGCTTTTGACAACTCTTAAGGAGTAGAAGTTGTGTCTACATTCCGTCTTGCTATGTTGTGTTTCCAGTTTCTGGGTGTTGCCCCCAAGGTTATTATTCGAATTAAGCTTAAGTAGGTGTTTAAGAGGATGTCCAGAAGTGTTAAGAATACAATAAGCCATTAATAAATCACCTCTAAGACGCCTATATTCTAGTGGGTAAAGGTCTAGTGAACGGAAACGTTCTTCGTAAGGCTTAGATTTGAGTCCTCGAACTGATTTCGTGGCTCGCCGTTGGATGCGCTCCAAAGTGACCTTGTCCTTTTGGAGTGAGGGGGGAGCACTATGTTTCCGTACTCTAAATGGGGACGGATGATATTGAATAACGCACCCAAAACTCGTGATTCAAATATTCGTATCTGACCAGATTGTTCGCTTGAGGATCGAATGAAGTGGAAGAATGCTCGTACAGAGTTAAGAACTCGAATGCTAAATGGCGAAACGAACCTTACGAATAAGGGTTTTCGGGTAGTCAGATCTTGGGAGCCAATGCTTCCGAGGCCTGTATGGGTAGAACGAATGATTCCCAAAGCATCTTAAAAGTATGCTACACGAACGCCCGTAGTCTTCGAAATAAAACGTCCGACCTAAGTTTGATGATGGATGAATCAAGTCCCGATATAATTGTCGTTACAGAAACTTGGTTCACAGTAGATATAGACTGTTCTCCGTTCATGGCAGGCTATGTCTGTATTAGAAGTGATAGAGTTTCAAGTCGCAAAGCGGGAGGTATAATATTATACGTTAGGGATCACTTTCGTATACAATCAACAATATCGGAGGCGCATACTAGTGGTACATGTAAGGTTGCATATTGTAAGATTAAATCTACAAATGGGTTAGTGACTATAGGGGGAATATACCGTAGTCCGTGTTGTCTGGTTGACGACTTTATCTTAAGACACATCTGTTCTTGGAGTACGGCAGAATGATGTCCCATCACTGGAGACTTCAACGCACCGTATATCAACTGAATAGAGCTTACAGCTCCATAGCGACATTCTATCAACCATTATTCAGTGTGCACTTGTACAATGTATCGCAAAACCGACACATATTGACTTGGAATATGACCCGTCATTGCTGGACCTTGTCCTCACACACCACTGTGAGGATGTCATCGACATTCGGCACCTTCCCCCACTAGTGAATACTGATCACGTTGTACCTCACTAAGTTTAGGACACATGGTATACAATTTGTATCTGCCCCACCCCGTCCCCATATCTGGCGAGCCAATATTCCGGCAATCAGAGACTGTGCTATCTCGACTGACTGGTCGGTCGACGCGGATGGATCGATCGAAGACGAATGTAATACATTTAATGCTGAATTTGAGTCCGTAACATCACCGTTTATCCCAAGGTCAACAGGTAAGCTATCACATTGCCCTTCATGGATTAATAAGAAAAGCCGGAAGCTGTTGAAGCGTAGGAAACACTTCTGGGACTTATTCCTGTCGACAGGACACGCATCATTCAAGTATGAATACCAAAAAATCCGGAATATATGTAAAAAGACCATAGCTAAATCCCGTACTACTTACGAACGACAGTTGGCATATGATAGCCGTACTTGTCTGAAACGATCCTTTTAGTATGTTAAACGGCGAACAATAAATAGTGATGGTGTTCTCTTATTGCTGTTACACGAAAACTCAGATTTACTGGCTGAATCAGATCGGGCAAAAGCTGAGACTTTTTCAGACTATTTTAGCGAAGTCTTCTCTACGTTTATTGTTACAAATACTTGTCCCACTCACACCCAGATACCAACTATGGAATCTGTACAGGTGACTGAGGAAACTGTTCTTCTATTGGTCACTAACCTCAAACCTTTAAGATGTCAGGCCCTGACGGGTTACATCCACGGTTGCTGTCATCTCTTGCGGACATTATTTCAAAACCGCTCGCGATACTCTTCAGCATGTACCTTTCACTCACTCAACTCCCTAGAGATTGGAAGGACGCTATAGTCAGCCCTATATTTAAGGACGGTCAGAGACACATAGTATCTATCTACCGGCCTGTCAGTCTAACTAGCATAGTCGTTCAATTACTTGAAAAGATAATTCGGGTTAGGTTGCTAAGCCACATAGATTTGCACAATCTGTTAGCTCCGGAGCAACACGGATTTCGTTACAAGCGTTCATGCTTGACTAACTTGTTTATTGCGAAGGAGGATTTGACAGCAGCCCTAGATAACGGTCTGTCTGTCGACGTCATATTCATGGATTTTAGCAAAGCATTTGACAAGGTTTCACACGTAGGTCTTATGCAAAAGCTCACGAGCTTCGGAATAATAGGTACTGTACATGAGTGGATAGGAAATTCCTAATGTGACCGCAGACAGAGAGTGAGGGTCTACGAAACGCTATCCGATCGGAAGCCGGTCAAAAGTGGTGTACCCCAAGGCACCTGCTTAGGCCCTCTGCTATTCCTTCTCAACGTTAATGAGTTACCGCTGTTACTTAGGTCGTCGACATTATTGTTTGCGGATGATGTAAAAATCTGGAGAACAATAAGAAGTGAGGCTGATCATCTGGATCTTCAAGCTGACTTAGACGATTTAGTTAGATGGGCTCGAGAGTGGGGCTTAGAAATCAATGCTAGGAAGAGTGTACTAATGCACGTCGGTCACGGTAATAGTTACCGTTACACTATTGACAGTAAACCTCTTCCATGCGTTCAAGAGCATAAAGACTTAGGAGTAGTATTAAGTCATGATTTAAAAACAATAACGCATTGCAACGCAGCTGCTGTCGAAGGTTTTCGTGCGTTATAGTCACTTCGCCGAGCGTTCAAATCTTTTGACGAGGAAACGTTTCGAATTTTATATCCCACCTATGTAAGACCACACTAAGAGTACTGTATCCAAGCTGCTAGGCCGTGTATGGTAAAGGATACTAACTCTTACGAGCGTGTTCAGCGTGTGGGAACGTAATTAGTGGAGGGTCTTTCTAGACTCCCTTACGATGAGCGTTTAAAACGCCTAAATCTTTTCCCCTTGTCGTATCGTAGGGTGTGAGGTGACCTTATACTAGCATTTCTTATCTTAAATTATGATTTGGATGTTAATATGTCTTATCTTTTTGCTCCCTCCAGCCATAATAATCTCCGAGGTCATAGCAAGAAGGTTCTTAAACCAAGACCTAATAAACGCAGAATGGGGTCCCGTTTTTCTCATCGAGTAGTCAATCATTGGAATGCCTTACCCGAACAAGTGGTATCAGCCCTATCAGTGAAAACTTTCAAGGAGAAGCTGAACCTTTACTGGAAAGCAATGTGTCAGGATTAATACAGGTTCATCAACCTACTATCCTTATTAATGAAGACTGAAGACTTACAGAGTTATTGATTCTGGGGATTTATTTACCATTACACTTACTTCTTTTCTTTAAGTAGTGAAGAGGAAAACTGTTGTTGCTACTCCTTAATCGTTCGATTTATTGACTAGTATTTTGTTTTTGTACTTCTGGTCGGTAAATTTTGACTATTGAAAAGATCGAGGTTGAAAAAGAGGACATTTCATAATTGGACGTTACAGTCTCCGGCTGAATTCTGTAATGAGTGGTGTTCCTTGATGTCATCAGTGAAAGCGTCTGTTTCGCAATGTAACGTCACTAGTATTCCCACGATTTGTCTGGATAACAATCTGGAGTTGGGCGATGGCTGTGATAGTGGTTTAGGTGGGAAATCAGAGGATGAGTTTTACGTTACAGAAGAACAAGCGTTTGGTATTAACGTAAGAAATGATCTAAATTTACTGTTGAATGTACAGGAGCTATATTATTTTTCACGGCTCTCATGCATCAACAGCCATAAGAAGTTTTTGATTGCAATAGTGCTGCTTTCGCAATGCGATGAAGGCTACCGTTGTGCTGCACAACAGTGGTTAAATAATACTATAATAGAGTCGAAAGAAGATCTTGATCAAGTGTTCATCAACGTCAACGACTCGGGTAAGTCGTGGTAATGTGTTAAGTGAGGTTTTACTCAGGTTGGTTTATGTATTTTTCTTCGGATTCATATTTTATTTTGGTAGTTAATATTTGAATACTTAGTTCGAAAGTCATGTAGTTTTGTCCTGAGGTACCTTTTTCTGTATATACAGTCCGAATTCACTTAGTATATTCACTGTCATAATGGCTACTTAGTGTAAACTTTAGTTCATTTGTGTCCTAATCTAGCTGTAAATTTGAGTAACAAACATCATTTTATATCATAGTACGTACTTAATGATGTCACTTCGTAGTTCTTGATAAACACCTTCGTTGTATGGTTGTCTCAAGCTTGCGTACGTACGGACATCTGTAAACATACTTCTTAATTGTGCCGTTCCAGTATTCATTAGTTAAGATAGTTTAGTGGCCATAAATCTGACTTCAATTAAATCGTGTGAATTTTTACTGTCAAAATATACATCGTGACTATTTATGTATATTATTATCAGCTTAATCCGCGTTAGTGTATAAAGGAATTAAATAAGTTAAATGCGAGAATGGGTTTCTGAATACATATATTTTGGACACTCATTAATCTGGACAGGCAATCGGAGGAACAAATCGAAGAGTACAAAGCGAAGCGAAATGACGCGCAGTAGAGAAGGCAAATGAGCTGACCATCCAATCAAGCATTAATAGATATTTATAGTCAGGTAAAAATAAGTTACAGACATGTGATGAGTAAGGTAAGAAATGCACACACATACGCTTACATAAAAGCAGTCAGGGTTGACAAGCGAATAATTAACAAGATCATAATGTGGCTCAAGAAAAATGGATGAATTGGCTTGTCTAGAAGCTACGATAAGTTATGTGGGCTTAAAATAGTAACCGACACTACAATAGGTCTATCGACTTATATAAATTTCTGCAATTTTTAACACTATGGATGTCCAGTCTCGCTTTAAATGTATTGACATAATGTGCTGATGTTAAGTGTTGTGGTAGAGAATCCCAGTAATTTACTACTCGAGGAGAGAAACAGAACTCCAGATGTAAACAATTCGATTTCTGTTCTTGCCCTGACGTGAAGTAGTGTGAATATCTGATCTATACAACCACGTCCAGGTCGAAAACCAGCCTCATTTCTCTAATCTGTTCTTCACGAGCTTTAGTTAGGCGTCGAAGTATTTTAGACACTATATTAGTCAAACTGATTCGTCTGTGATTGTCACAAGAGGACTTTTGTCCTTATAGACTGGCACAATCAGTGATTGAGACCAGTCAGATGGGATTACGTTCAGTTCCCAAATTCTACCAGATCTCAGTCTATTTCACTGTTAATACTGAACCATCATCCTTAAAAATCTCAGGAGTAAACCTGTCAGGGCCTGCTGCTCTCCCTCGTTTCAGATTTCCTATGGCTTTTTCAACTTCGTAAAGAGACGGAGGACCTACATTAACTTGCCATTCAGGTTGACTAGAGATCGCGGGAAACCGAAGTGTGTCTGAAGGCCAGTTGAACTGATCCCTAAAGTGTTCTACCCATCGATCCAATCTCCTGGATTGAGAACGAATAATATGTCCTTTAATAAGGTCTCAACAATATTGTCATATGTAGTTAACTTCCAAAATAAATATGGTGTTTTACTGCTGTCACTTGTCCTGTTGTATCTTCTCTTTTTATTGAACTAATGAATTTTCTCCGAATCAACAAACGTTCCAACACAATTTGTGTAATCACTTGATCAAAATTATCTGCATATTACAAAATGTGTTACACTTTCTCCTCCAGACCACCTAAAGAAACTTCGCGCTACATCGGCTTCGACGAATGAACTACTAGACATTTTGAAAAACCTTACATCTTTATCGGGTCTACAATACAATAATGAAGCCTATCGATTTGTTGGCCATGATTCTGCGCCAGTCAAGCCGGAAATGGATATATTTAATTCCAATACCCATACTAAGAATATGTTCGGCGATTCACTTCCAGATGCTGATGTGATTTCAAATAATTTTCAGTCCATTAAAAGACAGTACCTAGAACTGGTCAGCAATAAATTTGTATCTTCACTTGCTACTGATTGTGATTCAATAATTAAAGGAGTTGATAGTAATCATGTTCCTTTGCGTGAAGCGGCAGTACAGACGTCGATTGGTCAACTTTTTATCGCAACAATCCTTCACACATCCTTTAACGAAGATGACCGCAAATGGTTACTGTCATCTATTCGAAACAAATACAAGGGATTATCTAAAGAAACCAGTACATTAGTAAAACAGGGTCCTACCGATGATGGGCTTTGTTCAAAATTGTTTGACTGTCTGATCGATCTTGGTTTGGATCTTTCCTGTGCTTTACAACGTATAACATCAGGTTAGATTCTTGTGCCTTCACATATTTTCCTGTATTATATATAATTTCACTTTCCTGTTACTCACTGTTTGACATGGTAATGTTTCTCAAACGGAAACCGAATAAGTATGAGCTATTTGCGTGTCCTCTTCTAGATTTAGTCACTGAGGCCACTTTGGTTCCAAATTCTAAATGATCTAATTATATCAGATACAGTAAATTGTTCGACTCTGATAATGGCATGTGAATTACAATAATTGTAAAAGAGTATGACTCATGGTCATTCAATATGATTTTCACTAAGTTATTTTAGAAGAGCCTAGTTTCATCTAGGAGTCCTAGTTTAAGTATGGTTATAAAACTCCGCATGAAGTAAATTATGTACTCTACATATCCGGAATCATGATATTTCTTAACATTAATGGTGATTGTGAGCTCTTGGGTTGATTACTTTCAATCCGTCGACTGTAGGACAGTTGGAGTTTTAAGTTTGTTGTAGTGTGCAAAATCAGTCAGTATCGGTGCTGAACCCATTTCAAAACTCTTAGAAAATAAAAATTAATATTATCATGCCTGGTTGTAATATTTTTTCAATCTTATGTAAAAGTTTTTGGGACGTTTTTTGTCATATATGATGCATTATTCGGGTTGGTGTACTTAGCTTTCAATAGATTTACTACTTATTCTCAAGAGGGTTATTTGAACCCGTAGTGCACTCAGTGCATACCTCAAAATTGTGTGCTACTTCACCAGATAAATGCGAAATAGTCAATGTGAAAAGACATGGCAGGATTGCTTACATGTAAGTGTCTTTGGTGGACCACCATCTGTAGTGCAGCCATCGAGTAGTGAATACTTTTATTAGAATGCCAGGTGAAATTGGATGATGGGAGAAGTATCGTGTTGTCATAATGTAAAGAGTAGTTGTCGTAGGTTGTTTTCTATTGGTACATCAAAACTCCCTTAATGTTTTCATAGAAATCATTCTAATAAGCAACCCGAGTTGTCGCATATTAGAACTCAAAAGTAATAGTGGTAACGGTATTACTGTCATTCTCGTTTTTCTTCTGCTATCCTAGTTACACGAACATAAAAGTCACTTATTTAAGATGAGCTTTGTCCACTGTAGGAGAGATTTTTTCTTGTTTTGCGACCGAAATCTAGCTTTATATTAACTGTCTTGATAAATTCAATATATTTTCGAACGTTTTTAGTGATAATTTTTTCAGGTTAACAAGTTAAGCGTTGATGAGGTCACCACGTCGGGTGCTAAAACTTGATACGATAGACAATCAAACTCCAATTGATAGGAGAGTGAACGACTTCCAATCGCTTACAACATCTTTTTACGTTCATTTCGTATTACTTTTTCGTACATAAGTATATTATCTCATTGCATCGAAAAACCTGTTCTCCTGGAGTCTATGCCAAGAAAACGTCTATACAAGCTTGAATTTTTCAGTTTAGTTAGCGGGCTGGGAAGAGGATGGAAACGGTCTCATTCAGTGTCGGAGTTGCAAATTATTCACTTATTACAGAAACATTGGTTTTTGTCAACGTGCGTCACTTGTCACATAGTCGAGATATCCGTCTTTCAACGAAAGGGTGAGTTTACTGCACAGCAGTTCGCACCGTCCTACATTATGGATGTGAAATATGTTCATTCAGAATAGAGGGTATTCATGAGCTTCTGGTATTGGATCATAGGTGTTTACCAAGTATTGCTCTTGTATTTCGGGACCATGGAGTAAGCTACGTTTGGGTTAGGGATAAACTACTAGATACAGGTGGGAAATCGATTTATGAGGTGGTAAATCATCCACTGAGATAGTTGGAACATGTTCTACGTATCCCCAACCAGCGCCTACCTTGGTGGGTGATATTTTATAGTGTAGGAGCACACTGGAAGAAAGGTGGGGGCGGCCAAACTAAACACACGGCATTAGTCCAAAAGTTAGTAACCATAGGACTGAACTATGTTAAAAGATGTAGACTACTTGGTTGGGGTCTACATGATTATCTTAACCAACGGTTAGGGACTTTGAATGGCATGGATCAAAATCGTTTGTAATGGCACAAATTCACTCATTCGTTGTCTTCTCACAAACTCTGAGCTTCTGAATTCCTCATAACGTCTTTGTATTTTCATTTCACTAAATTATATTTTCTCGAATCGTATCTCCGATGCCTGATCTTTCCTATTACCACTGATACTGTTAATATCTCTACTATTCTGGGACTCGAGCTGACGATTTCATCTCGATGTTAGTTAGGGTATGGCATTTTGAACCAATGTACATTCGTTTAGGTCCTACGTTGTGACTAACTGACTGCAGAAACATATCACTTTTATTATCAAATATTGTAAATTCAAGAACAAACATACTTATAATCCTTATTCTTACACAAAAATTTTCTATATTGTCCAATTCATTGTTGTTTGCTCGACATAGTTATGCTTTAATCAGACTGAAATAATCAGTCAATAACAAGTTATTTTGTCAACATCATTATCAATCTAATGGAATATTCGCATTCACGATCATTTCTTTATTGTCTTAATAATTCATTCTTCACTTTTACCTCAATTTTTCAGATTCGTCATCACATTCATTGACTTCTTCCGGGTTCTTATCAGGTTGTGGTGGTTCAGATAGTCAATACGATCTACTCATGGAGGCTTCTAATTCTGGATCACACTCAGGCAATCATAACAATGGTATGAACAATACAAAAGCAAATTATGGTGCACTATTAACCGTTCCGAATGCTGAAGTTAAATCTGGTTTATCAAACAATTTTTATAACAATCATCCCTACTGCCCTTATCCACTAAGTACATCATCTCACTTTTCATATAGAAGATTATCTGACATTCCTAGGGTATCTAACTATCATTCGTTACACTCTTCACAATACCATACTCAAATATCGTCAAATAATAATGACCAAGAAAATAAAACATCGGAAATTGCCGATCTAGGTACAAATCAGAACTTTTTTACAACCAAGGATTTTAATGATTTGACAACAGTTAGTTCATCTAGCCTTCTTACGTCCATTCGAAATTCAATCGCTGATACAAATTGCGGCAAGACTAATGTATCTTCAAATGTTATCCACCAACAAAGGGTATCCACTTGCACACTAAGTGATTCAAGCTCAATCTCATCCAGTAATACAGACCTTGGTGTAAGTTATTGAAATGTGATTTCATTTTTAAAGCAAAGAGGTTTATAAGAAATCTGGTACTAATTTTATTGTCGATAACGTATTTTACCAGGATAATTCGCTCGTATAATAGAATAAAAACTGGTAAACGGTAATACGTAAAAATCAATCCTAAATACTAGCTGATATGATTTTTAGAAAAATACTTTTGTTAGGTTTATTTTTGCTAAGACAATTGTATTACTGGAGGGGGGAAAGGGAGATGGTATGATCTTTTGTGTCGGTTTCGGATTCATATCATATATTAAATGTTATTGACATTAATTTAAATATTTTATTTATTTTTTTAATAATAATTTCTAGGTTTGTATTCCTCACTCACCTACATCAATATTTTTGACTTCTACATCACCGGAACTTGTAAAAAGTCGTGAGAATATCGTTACATATACTAGCGATTCTTCTCTTCAGTTTCCTACAGGAGCCAATGGTCAAACTGTCTCTGATAATCATGAATCCCTGTCAAGTCAACGTTCCGATTTCGTGAATGATCATCATCCATCATCACAAACCCATCTTTGTCAACAAATACATGATCATTTTGCGCCGAATTTCCCTGAAGTCCAAGATAAACCATCTCATTCTATAATTCCAAGGAATTCGAATAAGTTAATAAATTCTACTGACATGGAACGTAATACATATTGTGTCACCGATGAGAATAATTTCTTAAATCCATCCTCTGGAATGACAGGTATATGTTTTGTACCTTGTATATGTTTTTGAAGTAGTATATACATATGAAATAAGGTAGTACCTTACATATACTTGTTTCCTGATCAAATCAATATACCACTAACATCACAGATAAGTATCAGTGGAGCAGATCTCCAGTTGTAAGAATGCAACAATTAACATCAAGTGCATTAATAAGGTTTTATCGGACGTGTTATTCCTCAGATATCATATTTTAGAATCACTGGTAAATCAGATAACTGAAAAACCTAGGAAAATTCTATCGTTTAATATACATGTTAGATATGTAACGGGTACATAAATTTTTAAATGATGTAATATAGCTGTCATGATTTTCATTATCTTCATGATTTTGATTAGCTGGCTGAAAAGGGTTCATATAATTACAACATTAATAATGTGTTATAACGTGATAAATAATTGCTGCTGATTAAGGGATAGCGAATTATTGATCGGACCAAAGACGCGCAAACACGTAGAACGACCTAGGGTTCTGATTGGTCTCGCTTCCCTGTATAGCCCAGCCAACTGAGTCCAGAATGAAGTCACAGCCTCGGATATATGAATCATTATGTTTCAAACATACTTTGTTTATATACCAGTCAAGCAGTCCACAGCGTACCATAAAATAGAAGATAACATTGTACAATAATGGCCAGTAGGAAAATGACACGTTAAATAAATATTGGCCAATAAGATGATACTATTTCATGTCCAAGGATAGCATTAGGCTTAACAGGATAATTTCTGGGATATTTTCCTGAATATCCCAACATAATGAAAATAATCATGAGGAATAAACCGATTATTTACATAAAACTAAAATTCAAGCAAATAATATTCATTTTTAGCTGAATCTATAATAACAATGATACAATTAACGTTATATATGTATATATATCCATTTATAAACTTCCATATAGGTTGTTAGTTATTCCAATAATTTACTTCTCATAAAAATAAAGCCATTAATAATAACCAATAATAATAATGTTCAATCTAAATAAGAGAATATGATTCAGCCAGGAGATTTTGCCTAGTTTTCTGAATTAAGTAGTTATACACTATGCATATTTCCTTGTAATACTTTAGTGACCCGTTTGATCTGACTTCTGTTTAGAGCGTATGAATGATTGTTATCGCTTATTCTCGTATATCATCGTCGACTTAAATCGCGTTATCCAATAACGGAATTAAATATGTCGAATAACGAGAATTGACTTGAGAATACATATATTTCGTACATGAAACGAATGAAACATAGCAAAGCAAAATGACACGCATGGAAGATGGCTGGGAAACCAACTCCATTTCAAGCCAGGCATTACTCAATATTTATAGTCAGACAAAATAAAGCTACAGACATGTGATTAATGCGATAAGAAGGGCACGCACATACACGCTCATATAAAAACAGTCTAGATTGATAAGCGAATAAATAACAAGGTCAATGTATGGCTCAAGTAAAATGAATAGAATAGGATGTCCGAAAGCTCGAATAAGGTATATGGGCTTGGCATAATAACTGACACTACAATACTAACGTAATCATCTCATTATTGTGCTGATTTTTATCGAATACTGACTGTTTAATATAACAGACTAAAAACCTTCAATGTGATATTCTTATTCACTGTAAAAATAACCAATTCAGATTTCATTCTTCCATCTACTTTTAGACTGATTTATGAGATAATTCCAAATCATTCATTTTATTGATGATTATTTTAAACTCTGATGGTATATTGTCTTGTATTTATCAATATTTTGTTCATTGAATCGATCCATCATAGCTAATGCGAATCTTGAAAAATTGGTTATATTAGTTGTTTAATTTTATTAGTTATCCCAGTCACTTCTATGAAATACTCCATTAGTAATGACATAAATATAGATTGTACAAATTGAATTATTTTTCATTGTAGGGAAATAGTTTTGTTAAAATTTGATTAGACCTTGGTCTAGTTTTGCTTAACATGCCCTTTTGAGTATATTTGACCCATTTTCACCATAATTTCAATTTACAATAATCTTTGTTACATTTTTGAACACTTAAACAATTTGGCATATCAATCAACATCTTAATGAACTCTTGATTGCGTCATGTGTCACATATCCTTCAGGTTACTTGGTGTACTGTATTATATTTCGAAGCCATCGTAATTACTTGTTAAATGATGTAATTGTTGTGCTGTTTTTTTACTCTTCAATCTTAAAAAACCCAGTATTCTACTCATTTTACTATTTATCTTTAAGCTGTCCCATTCTGGCTAAAAAGCTTACGACTGCATAAATATGCCAGTCTATTCCAAAATTTGTCATATGAGAAGATGATGAATATCACTGATGACTGGTTGAAGGAGCAAGTAAGTTTCATTAGTTTTTTTAGTAGCATTTCTACTTTCATACGGAACCGCGCGTTGTATTTTTACTTGAGAAAGTTATATTGTTGGATAATTTAAATATCATAGTGAAAATTAATATTTTGTCAGTTTTAAAAAAATTGTTCCGTTGCATGTTTTGTTTAAAATGTATGATGACTAAATTAAAAGGTATTGTTTTAACTCAAATTAAAAATGAAAACGGAAACTAATCAAAGGATAGGTACCGAATTTCGATTGTAATAAGTTAGTGGCTAAAGGATACCCCTATGATCGTAACATTTCCGGTTCTTCACGACTCTGGTTGAAGTCCTAGAGATAGTCTCACTCAGTGTCTTAAGACATTATCAAACATGGCTTAAGATATAGTCCTACAGAGGTCCTGCAATAGTTTTTTTAGATTCTTCACAAGTAGTCACTTAGCTGGAGGAATATTTTCTACTTGTTCTTTTTAAAAATTGATTTGTTTCTATTACAATAATCTATTCTCGTCTATATGATTCCATTCAGTCGTTTATTTATTTATTTGATTATGTTCACCCTCTCCCTCCTCTATGTCTTCACAATATTTCCTCATTTCTGTGGATCATATTTATTTTGGTGCCTATTTAAATATAGTGAATGAATAGAGTGAAAGAGAGAATATATCACTATGTAACGCGTATGTATGTACATACAAGGATTTTGCATAAATCATTCAATTCACTTCTATAAACAGTCATTCAAGATGCTTGAGAAACAAGTTCAATGTAAACTTATCTTCACAGCCCCATTATTTGGATTTTCACATCCCGTTTTAGGGTTTGTAGTCACATAAATACTTAGGCTACAAGTTTATGTGGATTTTTGTTTTGCTTCAATGTGTTAATTGTTTTCACACATCATGGTGTTCCTGACCGTCTGTTGTTTTCGTCCCACTAATGCCTCTACTATAGACGTATACTTTGGTATAATAATAAACAATTATGGATAGTTCGTGACATACCCTCTTTATCTATTACTGTTAATGCCACATATCTGTGCTTCGTGAATCCCCTGACTTTTTCATTGTACTGTTTTTTTAATTTTTATTTCAACACATAAATATTGGTACAAGAGGGCACCAAATATACATGCTCCACACCATATTTGTGTGTGTGTGGGCAGTGATACTGCCCGGGTGCCCAGACCGAAGCACGTGGTTTTCGTCGAGGACCACACCCCGAGCCTTTGACCTAAAGGTCTGATCCACAAGGCAGTGGAGCATCGTGAGGAGATGCATTCCCATGGTAGCCGGTGACCAACGATTGGTTCATACGCCGTTTGCTCCCGCAGGATACTGGAGCCCATGTGCACCATTGATTTGGTTTGGGATCCGGTTAAAACGCCAGATATTCGCTTTTCGTTCTCTCATTTTCACAAACAACACCCTCGCCACGAGAAGGCAGTGAGTAGGACTTCCCTGGCAGAGGCTGTATACGCGTGGTCTTGTGAGAGCATTTAGAGAGGGAGGGCAGGCCCACCCCACTCTCGGCCATACCAGGGCATCTGGGGGCGTTGTACTGTATAAGAAAGTAAGTGGACAGATGTGATTGATGTCTTTTTGATAAAAACAAGTCAGTAAAAAGTTGTAATACTAATTTCTATTCTATTCTCTGACAAAACATTTTTTTGTAAAAACCATGATAAGCAAATATTTTCAACAAGATTTCAAGCATTATTGACGTTGCCAGGTGTACTGTTAACTCAATCTAAAGCTATTTGACAGTGCAAAGACAGTTCTAAGTGTTATTGTAATCATTACTCAAACTTATGTCTATTCTATCCAATTTGTTTCTCATATATATTTTTACAAAATATCTACGTGCTCTGCTTACATTTATTATTATTATTTCTTTGTAGAATGTAACACAAGGAGCAAGAAATAAGATTCTATTAAGTATTGAGAAATTAAAGCACAGAAAATCTACTTTATGTTTAATAGAAAAACGTCTTTCTGATATACGATCGACAGATCAACTAACACAAACCTTGTTACATTCATGTTTAACTGAAATTAAACATATTCTATTCACACCAATTAAACCGTGTCACGAAACAATCAAATCACATTCTTTGCATTTAAATCAATTTAATTGTTGCTCGTGCTCTTGTTCACCGACTGCATCTTCATCTTCTATCTGTTCTTCAATTCCTTCTCGTGTTTCAATGAATTCAGATACATCAACGACAAAAAGTGCTATCACAATAACTGATTCTACTTGTCCAATAACTGTTTCACCTCCAATAGTCAGTATTAATACTGCTGTTTATTATACTAGAAATGCACTTGTTGGAAATAATTATAATGACAATAATAATGACTGTGATAACTGCAGTAGTATAAATTCTATGAATAATAAAACAAATGATCCTAATATCTCTAATTATTACTGCTTTTGTCATACTAACGCTTTGTATGCTGAAAATAAATGTTATCTTAATGTAAAACAATCACAGTCTACTATGATGAGTGATATTAACCAAGTATTTAATGATAATGATAAGTGTTGGTCTCCTTCTATAACTAATATACTTCCAAATGTTTCTTATGAGATTGAAGATGATGGTAAAAATGGCAAATTACACAGTTCAACACTATCCTCAAATTTCAACAATGAATTGATTAGATCGAATCAAAATGAATGTGGTTACACTAGTGACGAATGTGTTGAACAAAAAAGAATTAACGATGTTGACAACATGGATAATGATAATATACCTGGACATATTATTGCATGTCTTACAAAAGGTTGTTACTGTTTTTTTTGTTCGCTTCATTTCCATAATAGTAGTTTAAATGTGTTAGCGTTTTTATGGCAAGGTTGTTATCTACGGGCTGGGTTTGCCCAACCCTCCTCCTTTACTCGGGCTTTGGACCGGCACTAACCCTAGAAGAGCTGCAGGCTACACACCAAAAAATACAGGTGAAGACAACCAGTGTAGTAACAGCCTCTGCAGCAGTAAGCCTCAACATACATAAGGGAAAAACCAAGATCCTGAAATACAACTCAGAGAACACTAACCCAATCACACTCGATAGAGAAAATATGGAAACTTCCACATACCATGGACAGCATCACCGATGAACAAGGAAGATCTGATGGAGATGTGAAGTGAAGGATTGGCAAAGCAAGGACGGCATTCCTACAACTGGAGAACATCTGCGACTCAAAACAACTGTCTGTTGACCAACATCAAAGTCTGAATTTTCGATGTAAACATCAAGACGGTCCCATTGTACGGAGCTGAATCTTGGAGAACTACTACAACCATCATCAAAATGGTACAGGTATCTATGAACAATTGTCTATGCAAGGTACTTAGTGTTCATTGGCCGGGTACCATCAGCAACGGCATAATATGGCAGATAACGGATCAGCTTCCAGCTGAAGTGGAAGGTAAGGAAAGACTTTGGAGGTGGATAGGACATACATTACCGAAATTATCAGACTGCATTATGAGGCAGGCACTAACTTGGAGTCCTGAAAGCAAAAGGAAAAGTAGAAGACCAAAGAACATTACGTCTGCAATTGGAGGGTGATATCAAAAGAATGAATAGTAACTAGAACGGATTGTCCAGGGTAGAGTTGGATGGACAATCCTTGTGGACACTCTTTGCTCCGCCTTGAGGAGTAACAGGTGTAAGTTTAAATGTGCAGCCTTCATAAATGAATATAACACTTTTTGATTTTATTCTTACTTATTCAAAGGTTTGTACAACGATGACTTGATGGTTAAAAGACTTAGGTTTTTGGGTGTTAAAATTGTATGTTTAAATTTTTCTTCATCGAGTTCAATTTAGACAGACGAGTAGGTATCAGTCTTTTGTTATACAAAAAGTGTGGTTCAAATCCAAATGCAGTTATTTCCACTGAATTGTTAAAATTACATTTGGATAGTTATGATAAGTGTCTGAATGTGGCTCAATATTTAAGGCTTCGTACTTTCAGCTACTAAAAAGAATGTTAAAAACCCTACTCCACAAATACATTTATAATTGTGATACTTTATTTTGCTGAGAGATTACTGTTGGGCATGTTGTTCAGTAGTATGCACTTTGTTTCTTCACTCTCTCCTAGTGATAATTGCATAAAAATGCCTAATTAATTTTTAACCTTGTTTACATTTAACCAATCGTATGTTTTTATATCCTATGAAAAAGAAATGTCACGCTTTCGGAAGTACCAACCAAGGATCATTTATTACTACAATTAAATACTCAACTTGTAAACTCGTAATTGATTACACGATTAACGTTTTATAAAATGATTATATTGATTTCCATATTTCATTCGTTAAGTGCTAGCATATTTCCTGTCTGCTAGTTGTCATCAAGTTCTCCTGGTCAGTTGTTTTTCTTTTTCAATTGTAATCTTTGGTTAACTCATATCTTTTTCTTTTTCTCTTAATTATGCTGACAAAAAACTACTACACTATATATTTTGAATTCACTTTTTCTTTCTTGAATTATTAATTATGTAGTATGTTCCAGTCTATTGGTCACAGCTTATCCAAGTGTTAATTTATATGAGGAGTTTCTACAAATATTGGAAATTATTCTAAATCATGTTGTAAGTGAATAATATAAATGTTTATCATAAATATTTTTTTTATTACTTATTTACATTATTATAATTTTAAACATTTGATATCTGTATGTAGAGTGATCTGTTAAATCAATTTATAAACTAAATTACTATGATGGATAGTGGCTAGCAGTGGAATCTAGGACACGCGTCTCGTCCTATTTGGGACTCGTCAGCTGGATGTACCTGCATCTCAGAGTCGATGTTCACTCCGGGACTCGAACCCAGTACCATTCGCTTCAAACGCCATCGCTTTATTCACTTAACTACTGAGTCCTGATAGCCACTTGCTTGTGCAATGGGGTAAATTTCAATTCACTTGGTATTATTTGACTTTATCTTCCCATTGAGGTGCAGGTACATCCAGCTAATGAGTCCCATATAGGACGAAACGCGCGTCCTGGATTCTAGTGCTAGCCACTATCCATCTTTGCTTTCAAAAAGCTTGTGAATTAAGGCACTATCGAGGCATACGCACAGTATGCACATATGCTGATAACAGACTGATCAATTGCAGTCTTGAAACCTCAATGGGAAGATACAAGCCAAATAATCTCGAGTGAACTGAACTACTATGATTTTTGTTGAAGTTTTAAAGAATAATCAGGAAGTTCATGAATTGTTAAATACTATTTATTAAGATAATGTAATGAACAAGAGCATGAGTGCGGACAATCGAATGTATTTGAGCACAAAATTACAGAACATCTCACTAAAATCTGATAACCATATAGTAAATCTTTAATTTGCAAACTATCAATCCATTGTCTCAAACTTGACTGCTTCTTTTGTGAATATCAGTCCATCGTCTCAGATTTAATTGTTTTTGCATTTTCATACCAAATGCTTTCCGTTCTTGTTCTTTTCTTCTCGATCTTTTGCTGAAATACATTATATTCCTGACTATCGTTATATACTAATGTGTATATAAGTGGCGCATACCACAATACTATTGAGAAAAACAATCTTTCAGTGAATCATACGTTCTATTCAAGTTTTTTTAGACCACAAGAATAATCCATAACCAAGACAAAAATTATTTCCTCTTGTGTTAATGAAAACATTAATAGTTTTGGGTTTGTTATGCTTTCTGATCACTGTCCAGAGTATGGGTTGTTTTCTATCGGAGCGGCTTTGAAAAAGATTAAGCTCAAAACTTTTTTGACGAATTACTGTCTGTATTTTGATTGTATAATTAATAAATACTGGAATTATTATATTGCCATATTACCCTATACATATATTCTATCCTAGAATTTTTATTAATTGATTATAACCCCAATTACTCAGATATCGTATAATTTGGTTGTGTATATATTGTAATTTCTTATTTGTATTGCTTTGTAACCAAGTATTTAAAGTATATTATCATATAATCTTTTGAATTATGATATCAGTAAGATAGTAGAGGAAAATAGGAAAAAATTGTTTTCTAGCTTCACCCTCTGGTTGGACACTGGATGAAAAAAACTCTTGGATTAAACTTCTCTGGTCATTGTTCAGTATCATTGATAAAATAAAAGGTTATTAGCCCCGAAAGTCAATAAGTCTAAACAGTTAATCAGTGGATTCAATAGTAAACTGTGTTCATAATTATTGACCTGATTACTCTCATTCATCTCCCAAAAGCAAGAAAAAGATCCTCATTTTTGAATTCACAATAAATGGCTAACTAAGTGCATCGGATTTCAGGTGCATAGTGGAATTTCTGCAAGTAAAATTAAGAAATCAAATCACAAAACAAAAAGTATTATTTGAACAACTCCATTCATAAGTGAATGTTGAAAGTATACGTATCACATCAGACTTTTCACAATCTATATTATTTGATTGTTCCTCTGTCCAAAAAATCGTTTATACTATTTTCTCTGTGTGATCAGTATGTAGGGAAAGTCTTTTCAATTTACGTAATCAGACTTTTTTACATGCTTTACTGTGCCATTTTCCTTGTGCAAATTATTAATCTCTTTGTTATCATTATCATCATATTTCAGGCTTTCACAGAACAACAAAAGAAACTTGTTTCATTTTGGAAACATCGTATTATTGTTGTATATGGTCAATATGTTACTCATTCGTCTAATTCATCAAAGCCAAAATCTGATTTCCACTCTAATATTTATCCTCGACATATCCCACTGGTAAATCACCCAGACACTAGTCGCCTTCGTAAGTTACCAACTACTTTTGTTGGTCAAGAACAACGACTAGGTTCTCATATGGGCCATAGAACTTTTCATGCAAACACTCTCATTCCTACTGTTTGTTTGCATAATACTCAGGACACTTCTTATTTTACTCAAGATGCCTCAGATGCGGATTATGCTCGAATAAATATGTCTTTAAATATCCCCTCAACCATTGAAGCTTCACGAAGACATAGTGCTTCTGTTGGTGATTCCCGAAATTGCCTAGCTGTTGGGAGGCTAAACAACAGGCGTAGAATGCCTAGTCCGAATTCATCATGTTTTTCAGGAAGGGGTGGTATGTCGGTGAATCTTCCATCAAATAACTCGTCTTTTTCTCATCACCTTCAAGCATCTTCAGATATGGAATTATCTGGTTTCCCATCACAGTTACCAAAACCACGCTTTCATAGTCCATCAAGATTTGATCCTTCAACTAGCGTAACTCCACGCAGAAATTTAATGCCCGTAGCGACAGCTCCTGTTACTAGAATGCCTTCGCCGTCAGATGTTTGTCGTCATGGTATTTGTTATAATGATTGGTTTTCTAATAACAGAGGTGCATTTCCAACGGCGCCTTCCCCATCAAGTGTTTCACCAATTTCTTTATGTGAGGGATCATGCCCAGAAAATGTAACTTCTGACACGCAGATTATACAGCAACTGCCTCGAACGCCAAACGTACCAACTTCAATATTACCATACGAAAATGCCTTTCACAAGGTAAGTACTATCTGGTTCTTTATCTCATATAATTTCTGGTTTTTATTCCCTTGTCAGAGCTCCCTTTATGTAACCACAGCTTTTTGGTTAAGTATATTGTTTGATCGCAGTATGCTTTACATATTGCAGTGCCTCTTAATTACTTAAAGTGAACTGGGATAGGGACTCTACTTGTCAAGTGTTACAATTACATTCATTCTGCTTTTTATCCATATGGTTTAAAAAGGTCAACATTTTCCCTGCATTTTACTGCCCTGATATTTTTCTAAGCATCAAGTAAATCAGCTGTCATCAAAAAATTTACAAACATATTTTTACAATTCCTTATGTAGCAAATAATACGTAGCTAGGTGAAACAAAAATAGTCGAAGATATTCAATAATTTCAATACAGTCATTTTTTGAGTCTGCTACTCTGTAGTTCAGTTAATAATTTTACGGTTTAAATCACGAACTGATATTCGCTAGAGGATCATTGAAAACCAGGAAGCGTTAGACAGTTATTTCATGACCACGTGCATACAAACACTGCCTTCTCGCGGCGAGGGTGTTCATTACAAAATTGAGAGGACGGAAAGCGAATGTCCGGCGCTTTTACCGGGTTGGTGGTGGGTACGGAGGGTCCACCTAAGGAAGTTGGAAAACCCTGATTCCAAACCAATGGTACACATGGGCTCCAGCATCCTGAAGGAACAAATGGCGTATGAACCATTCGCTGATCACCGGCTACCATGGGACTGCATATTCTTACGTCGCTCCACTACCTTGTGGATCAGACCTTTAGGTCAAAAACTCCGGGTGTGACGCCTTAAAAAAACCACGTGCTTCGGTTTTGGTAGCCAGGCAGTATCCTAGCCGTCACACGAATTGAATGACTTATGTGGTGCATATGTATTTGATGCCTCTTGTACCAATGTTTAGGTGTTTAAATAAATAAATTACAGTACTCTACAACAATGTTTATTTAGCGACCCCAACCTCTTCTATCGAACTCCTGACCTTCAGTTTTGAGCGTGAACACTCAACCTCCGAACCATTTATCCGGTACCTGTTGGCGTATGTGCCTAACCCCAGTGAATTTATGAGAGTGTGCAACCATTTTCCTTTGTCTGTCATGGATGGGCTGCCTTCTATTCGTTGTACAAGATTGTTCCCTGGCATTGTCTATTGAAGAAGGATGTGTCTGAAAAGTTTATTAACATCCTAAAAGCCCTATATACAAACACCTCAGGTAGAGTGAGGACATACAACCACCTTTCTCCATTGTTCTATTCAAGCAGTGGTGTAAGACAGGATTGCACAATCTCACCATTCCTCTTCAACTTTGCCATCGATGACATTCTGGAAACAGCCCTGATGGATGTGATTAATGGCGGCGTGGATCTGTTGACTGGAGATAGACTTCTTGACCTTGAGTTTGCGGATGATATTGTCTTACTGTGCGATAATGCCCAAGTCATGCAGTCCGCACTAAACCATGTTAGTAATGCAGAGGTTCGGCATCGTGTGTTTGGGCGCAGAGATGATAATCCAATTAGTGTCACCATCTTGAAAAATCGACTTCGGTGGCTTGGACATTTTCTACGAACGTTGTCCCAGAAAATTCCTTGTCGTGCATTATTTGCCGATTCTGGTACTGGTTGAAAGAAGCGGAGAGGTGGTCAGTGTATGACATAGTGTCGTGGTATGAAAAAAAGCTGCAAAGGGCTGGCTTGTGTTGGTCCTTCACGACTCCCTGGCTGGGTTCCTAGAGATGGTGCAACACAGCTAGAGATGTTATCATATATGGTTCAGAATAGAAGTCAGTGGCGATCCTGCTATAACCTTCTTTTGCTTTCTTCATAAAAAGTGACCGTAACTTTTTTAACTGAAAGAATTCTTTCTGTTTCCCTCATTATTATATTATTTCACTACCACACATTAATTTGTGGTTGTTATTATTCTTTTTTCCTTTTTACACACACCTTGCATCCTTCATCTCTTCCCATTCTCATTAATATTGTGTGGCGCATATGTATCTGGTTCCCCCTTGTGCCAATATTTATGTGTTCAAACAAATAAATATCTCGTAGATAACTCACGACAACCCATGACTAGACCCCACTAGTCCATGACTTATTACCAGACCTCCAGGAACCACATTTTGAAGCTAGTCATTAATGGGCACTTGATGATTATTAGCATATGGTTTCGTGATTTATATTATATAAGTTCTATCATCTTCACCTTCTCCCATATACTAGTAATAATTATATATTTCGAAGTTTTTTCACGCATTTTTAAGGTACACCAACTGTTGACATTATAACAAATAGATATAGGCTTTTTAGGTTACACCGCAGGTTGACTTTTTCTAGAAAACCATTGAAAAACAAAAAGCACTACATCGCACCATTGCATACCCATTTCTCCATCAATAGTCAAACTCAAAACTCACTGTTCACAAAATTCGTGTTACATCTAGACCACTGACTTAGCATCTTAATAGTTCATATTTCTAGTTTAAATAAAAAGCAAATATCCTGTCCCACCTGGTTTCCAATGATTATCCAAGTAAAGTTAATATGTGGCATAAGAATTAACAATCTCCACAAAACTCCTATCCTAATCAAAATAGAATAATCTCTTATTTTCATAGTACTGTGTATGTTCGAATTTTGTTAGGTAGAGTTTGAACTTTGCTATTTTCAATTGTTTTTTCTTCATAAACGTAATTCTTACTGTTTTATACTTATTTATTGTGTTAATACAGACTTATAGTTCATGCTTATGCACACCTACTAATAAAGCAACCACACCTCATACATTGTTGCCTTTAAGTTCACCGAATCATTTAAAAAGCTTGCATCAACATATTTTTCCTAATTATTGCGAAAATTCTGGAAGTTTCTTAACTTCAAATTATCCATCAATCCCATGTATTCCTAATCCTATCGTAATTGGAAATGTTTATCATACATTTGGTTCATCATTTGGAGAGAGTCCTTCACAAAGTGTTTGTCATTCTAACTGTTCAACAACAATAAGTTCATCACAACAAACCGACTCAAAACTTCCTGGGATTAGTTGTTGGTCGACTGATCCCTATTCACATCAAATTAATCAAAGACAAACCGAATATCATGAAATGCCTCAATGTATGCATAATATTTATGATCTAAATAATGATAATACTAATGATAATAATAGTAGTAATAATGATTTGTTAGTGTTTGTGGATAATTATATCGCAACTGCAGAGAATAACATGATCGGAGATCCATCAGATTCGTCAAATGATCGAATTAATCGAGATTTAGATCTACTCACACGTAAAGTAACGGAACATGCTATTGGAGGTATGAATTTCTCTTGTATATTTTTGTAATGCCTTTTTTTTCAATCTTGTTCTATGTTATGATTAATTATCTCCTAAAATACACTGTTTATTTTGTTAGTTTAAAAGACCAGAGTTAAAATTAGTTCCAAACTAATAATATAGTATCTCTATGAAATCATTGGAATACCGTTGGATAGGTAATCCGTTTTTAAATCACACTGAATATTACCTTCCATAGCTAAATACACTTATTGCTGATAAGTGTCAACCAGTTTCGTCTAGACATTAAGTTTGTTAGTTTTTTATTCGTTCATTTAATAAGAAAACGTTTTGCGTATGTGTTAACTAATTATTGCTTATGCCTGTTGCCCCTCGAGGAGGAGCATAGCCGCCCACTAGCATTCTCCATCTAACTCTGCCCTGGACTATCCTTTCCAGCTGCTATTCATTTTTTCATGTATACTTCCAATTCCCGACGCATTGTGTTCTCTGGCCTTCTTTTCCGCTTCCCTTCAGTATTCCATGCAAGCGCTTACCTCGTGATGCGGTTTGATGATTTCCGTAATGTATGTCCTATCCACTTCCATCGTCTTTTCCTAATATCCTCCTCAGCTGGAACCTGGTTTGTTCTCTCCCACAGTAGGCTGTTGCTGGTTATTGATGAATTATTGGATAAATAATAATCCTGACGGTTTTATTATATACAGAGAAATAACAGTTGAAATTTCCAATAGATCTACAATTTGAAATTATCTGTTGTAGCTCTGTAATGTGTGTGGTCCAGACCGTTGACATAACAGTAAAAGATTAATGTATCGTCTCATGATGTTGCAATCGTGTTAGTCAATCATATTTTAGTAAATATAATTAGGCTTTAAATTTTCCTCAAATTCATTAAAGTAACTGTTTGTGATATCTATCCACAAGTCATTATGGCTTAACCTTACAGCCCATTTTGTTGATAAACATGTTCTGAAATCTATACTGACAACTTATCGTCACATTATAAGCTTCTATCCAACTTATTACTTCACCACACAGTACTGTACGTCAAGTAGTACTTGGCGGTGCTTAAGCATACGCAACACGTGTCTCAGTCACATCTGGTAAATGTTTACAGCCTCTTCAGTCTGATTGCCGTTCCTATCCAGCCATTTACGTTTAAGCTCTAGATTGCTCATTCGGGTGTTCTGTTGTAAGAATTTCTCTTATTACGACCCAGCTATTCCTATTGCTTAGTATTCTTGGACACCAATTCACTCGACAAGTCCCCAAATCAGAACACGGTTGAACAGGAACGAAATTATATTCCAAATAACGAGGATAGATGGAAGTAAGAAGCACAATAAGAAAAACGTTAGTGTATTTATAATTTTTACATGAGGAGATTCTAGAGTCTTCCTCGAGCATCCACTAGCGCTGATTGGATAAGAAGTGGCCAATCAGCGTTCATCAACACAATTGTGCACAGAACGTGCTTTGATTCAATCTATATTCCGCTAACATCTACCATACTTAAGAAATGCTTCCTGGTTAATTATTATTAAATGCTAGTGACCTGAGAGTATCCTATAATTTCAAAGTTCACGTTTTGCAGCTACAAATTATACTTGTGTTTTTATAGATAAACTGTAGTGCTATGTTAAACCCGCGTAGCTCATTGTAGCTTCCGGACAGGCCGATTTATTCATTCATCTTGAGTCACATTTTGCCCTTGTTAATCATTCGCTTAGCAACCTTGACTGTTTTTATGTAAGTGTATGTGTGCACTTTTTATTCTATTCATCATATATCTGTAACTGTGTGAATATAAATATCGATTAACGCTTGATTAGGCGGAGTTGGCCAACATGCCTTCTTCACTGCGCGTTATTTCGTCCTCTTCGCTTCGTTCCCCTGATTGTCTGTCCAGATCAATGAGTGTACAAAATATATGTGTTCAATAACAATCCGAAACGACCTAGCTGGCGTCGGATGTAGGGCGAATAAAGTGATGAGCCCGTCGACATCATCGTCCTATTTAATTGGCGTCAAAATAACGGGCCACAAAATGCAGTCATTTCTAGAGGGAAACATAATTTAAACACTATTGCGTTGACATACATTACGCAAATCGTCGAACTGCATCACGAGGCAAGCCCTAAATTGGAATCCTGAAGGGAAGCGAAAAAGAGGAAGGCCAAAGAACACATTGCGTCGGATAATAGAAGCAGATATGAAAGCGATGAATTACAACTAGACGGAGCTAGAAAGGATTGCCCAGGACAGGGTTGGATGGAGAATGCTGGTGAGCGGCCTATGCTCCTTCACGAGGAGTAACAGGCGTAAGTAAGTAAGCGTTGACTCAATAAATTCGGGAGACCGGACTTTTCGATCTGTTATCTAAATCGAGCTTATCATCTGTTTACCATAAGTCAATAGTTGAGCTTTTAGGCAAGTGACTAATCCCTGAATTTTTAAGTGTTGAAAAAGCGATTTCCTTTAGTATTTTCTGAACAAAACAAAGCTAGAGAAACTGTATAGAGGTGAAGAACACCGTTTAAATTTGACAGTTCTATCGACAGTTTGAAATAAACTTGGTCTCAACCAATAATATTTAAGCTAAAGATCATCTGTTCTTTATTCCTCGGTAATACGTTTTTCGATTATGGACACCAAAATGAAACTAATGATTGCAGCCTCCAAGTCAAGGCATACGTCCACAGTTCAGCATCTGCGTGTTCATGTTCCGAAACCTAACAAGGGTTGAACATTTGACTACGACAAGCCATTCTGATCACTAAATCGAGGCACCAACCACGAACGCCCTGTATTCACAATTAGAATCGAGTGTTAGCAGTTTGTATTCTTATCATACGTATCACTCATATAGTCTTCCTTATTGTTCCGTTTACTTTTGTATGCGTATATTTTCCTTCTTTTTCGTTTAGGTTTCGATTCTGTGACAGATTAAATGAAGCTGTCCTACTGGATATTAGATAAATACCTACGTTTTCGTCTAGGTTCAGTTGATGCCACTTACTATATAATCAATTATTCATTTTTTGAATTATAATCTCTTTTAATACGCTTTTCATCCTTGTCAGTTTGTGTTCTAAATCTGTTTTAAGTTGAATTATAGTAATTGTTTTCTTTTTATCTATCTTTGCAATGATATCATTTTTTTCTGTTATTCATTGTTGTAACCTAGTACTACTTGTGCTCTTTTATGATATTGAAGAGTCTAACTTATCATTATTTTATTTCTTCAATTATTATTATTATTATTATGCCTATTGTCACTGTTATTCTTATTACTTTACAATAAGTCGTCCCAGGATTTTGCGAAATGCGCTTGTCAATCTTTTTTAGTTTATCATTATCGCTTGCAAATGTCCAATTTTAGTAAATGATTTTGTCGGCTGGTATCGACATTTATTACTAATTATTTATTTGTTTCTAACTTTAGATATTCTGCACTGTGTGTGTTCCTTACTTGGTTTGGAAAGTTACTTGTTTTAATTTGTTAAGGCGGGTCCTTTAAAATGTGATTCTTGTCCCTTTCGTCTACCCAATGTTTACGTGAATATATATGCATTTGTATGCCAAAAAATACAGACATACAGGTATATCTAGCTTCTCAAAGTTTCTCTTTGACTATTTTTGCGTTCGTTAGTGCTTAAGACACACATCACATTCAGCGTTTACATCAGCAGAATTAACTTTAACACTGGGCGATAACAGAATCATTTAAGTGGCCACGTGACATCAGCCAGATAATTTCACAGAAGGCTAGCCTTGGGTGCCTGTCAGTTACTAGTTCTGAGTTCTGCGTTGAAGATATCGAACAAGCTAATGGACATTCCCAGTTGATAAGGGAACAGAGCATAATTGGTACTCACATGCTATTTACGATGGACCAATAAGTTATTTACTTAGTGCTATTCGAGGTCTACCAGAAAAAAAGGAAGATATTCAACAAGCATCAGGTGACAAGCAATTGATTACAAAAACGTCTAGATTTATCATAAATGGACAATAACCTGAAACTCTTCAGAGAGTGCTCAAGCAACATTGTTGTTGGAATTATTGTGTGCCATGAATGTCCGCTGAAGAACGAGTGGATATTTCTGAATCCCTTAAATCCTACAGCAGGCCCACAACGTTCAATGTATTAGTCGTTCAAAGTCCTTTTTGGCCGTTTACAGATCAGAGGACTGGAAATTTTGAACAGCAGCTCTGAGTGCCAACTAAACTAAGTAGTATAAGTACCTTGACTACATGTATAGAAACCTTGTGTCTCACTGTACACCGCCTTACAAGCTTACCGAACCGCGTAATTGTGGAGTCTCGCTCGAAATGTTCGGAGACAGACTACACAATTCAGAAAACTATTGACAAAACTCTTTGATAAATTCTCTATTTTAACGGATGGTATCAGATAACTGGTCGCTTTTCTCAGAACAACCTAAAGAATTCCGTGACTCAGTGAACCATGTTCATTTCTCGTTAAGTTTAACGAGTGTGAGAGTCATTTCATCCAGGCATGCAAATGTGCGCTCTTTAAGTCCAAGTGAATCCGTAAAAGAAAGGGATTTGTAAATAACCTTCCACTAAATCCAGTAAGAAGTTAGGGTTATTTACATTCCTGTGTCCACGCTATATATCCTTTTCCCTACACAGAATGATGGGACACGTTCGTTTTTAAATAGCATTAGCTACACCCAGTGTTGTGTGCTAAAGGTTATAACCAAAACCTAAAAGTCTCTTGCTAACTGCGTTATTTGACGGCGGTATAAATGGTAGGTTTTTGTCTTCACCTGCATAACGAGACTTCTGAAACATGTTCCTCAAATACTTTCGTATTACATCTTTTATACGTACGTTAGTACTAACGGGATTTGTCGACAGGATGCTTGAGAAGTGAATAGTGCTATAGATCACCTATGTGGGATGGTTGGGGGCTTACTCAGGTTGAACGAGAATGGTGTGCTGGATCAGCTAACTGGGAAGTCAAACCTCGCGTCATCAACTAACGTGGATCACCCCTTCGTCGTATCAAGGTACCGTGATTGCTTCGAAGGCCGTGCGACACAAAGGACGTTATTACATAAACATATTAGTTAAAGTAGCTACAAGCGAGTGTGACCCCCACCGCGTGGGCCAATTCATTTCGTACGATTAACTGATGCGCATTGGTTGTCTTTGACTTTGACAGGGATTGATGGTCTATTCAATATTCAGTGACCCAACTGCCGGATGATTAGGCTAGTGCTCAATGACATTTCACTGGCTCTACAGGACATATATATGTATATATATATATATTATTGATATCATTCGACCGTAATAGAGTCTGACCGCACACAAATAAACTATATCACAGTCACAAGGATCGGATTATCAACGTAGTGTTGGACGCAAACGTGAGTGCATAAACCCTAATTGCACCAGACACATCGAGTCTCACTAGTACCAGTAAGCTGTTGTCTATACACCATAATTTACTGCCACAGTAGAAAATAAATATTCAACGTCTACTCCGACCTTATTGGTTTTGCTCGACACGCCCAACCTGAAGATGCTTGGTCAATCATCCGCACAAGAGCACGATTTGATTTGCTACATTCCACATCCTTTCCAATACCTAGTTAGTTTGGATCATTTCTTGATACATCAACTATCTTTCTAGTATGTCGCGCAGACAACAATAATTTCAAGCCCTGAATATCCGCGCGTTATTCACTGTTTAAATTAGATTGTACTACGATAGATTGCGCGTAATATTAACATGAAAACTTAATATTGAATTTAATGAACAAAAGAATTTACGTGCAGGGAAATTTTGATGTTGAGCGGAAACTACAAAAACACAGAGATACTCTTCAACATTTTGTCGATGGGTTTCTACTTCAGCTACGGCCACTTTCTTTCGATTCTATCTTCTAGGTATGTGTGAGGTCCCACCCAAATGTTGGTGTTACCTTGACTTTTGACACAAGTTAGCAAAACATTTCGTTGTTTCTCCGACCCTAAGATTAAATTAAAGAGTCTATATGATCGGATTTCAACACTTCCGTCGGCCAGCTTATATATTATTTTGGCCAAGACTCTCTTAGAGTTATCAGATGTGATGCTACGGATAAATGCTCAGAATTTTTCCAAGTCATGCGCGTGTTTAATTTATGGGTCAGGTTCGTTTGGTTTGCCATCAGTCAACGTTGGAAAGGCTCAATGGAAGACTGATGCTCGTTCTGGAATACATGTTCAAACTTAGACCGATGAATATATGTGCCTGATCCTACGGTGTAGCCGACTAACTGACTGAAAAATTTATCAACCAGATGGATAGTGTATGCGCGTTTCGGAGACGCAGCACACATCGATGGCGCGGGATTCTAAAGTCCTAGCTAAGGAAGCCTGTTGTCCTATTTGTCAAAGTGTTCGTACGTTAAAAGCTCCTACGTGTAGTTTGGAGCGTGGTTCCAGGAGACCGGGAATAGCGTTCCGCGTACTCGACCCGTTTGCCCTAGCGGTGCGAGATGATAAAGAGACGTGAGGAGGGTTAATCATGGAGATAAGAAAGGTATTAGGAAGTGTAGGAAGGATTTAAATGTGATCAACTTGGTCTCGTGCGCTGTTACGGGTATGAGGGCTGATATCACTTCCCGGCTGCCCACACCGTGGAAGGGTATTTCTTGAAGAACCTGAAAAGGAAGTTGGATTAGTGTTGGTCTTAACGACATGGAAGCGTAACCGCAGAGCCCAAGGGAGAACTGCTTGAGGCCGGTTGCGTACGGCCCTTTCGTGGAAGGTTTTTAATGTGTTAGCTCCGTTCTTCAAAAGGCCTTACTGCCATAGACGGAAATCCGTGAGGTAAGGTGAGGTGTGACATTTTTAGGGTCGACCTTTTCTAACCACACCCCTCCTTGTGAGAAGGCAGCATCTCTGTAGGTGGTGGTTGTCCGAGGGAAACACCTTACTGCTGTCACACCCCTCTACAGTCCGCAGTACGACTTCGCCCTCAGACCTTGAGTTGCTGTTTTTAGTCTTACCGTTCTCCAACCGACCTGCCTGGCATGGTAGAACCTACAGGAACATATGTTCCAGCCAATATAGCTCTGTCGGGTCATCACGATCGGCAAGCTCGACCTTCGCGTCAAGGTAGCAGCTTCAGTCGGGAAGGACAGGGATACACCTCTTTGCTTTTTCGTCATTTCTGCCTACGCTCCCACTGACTGCAGCCTGGATGCAATGAAAAATGACTTTAACAGAAAGCTTTCTGAACTTCTTCATAAAATCAAACGCTCAGGTATAATACTCGTAGCAGGTGACTTTAATGTTCAGGTAGGTAGCTTAAACCAAACAGAAAGACACTTAGGTGGATGTTTTAGCATTCCGGCTCAGCGAACAGATAATGGTGATCGTCTTCTGCAACTGTGCTTAGACAATCATATATTTTTTAGCAAGCAATAATTTTAGGCGTAGGTAGAGATGTCGTCTAACATGGTGACCCCCTGCACCAAACCAACGATGGACTCAAATAGATCATATTGCCATCAGTCAACGTTGGAGAGGCTCAATGGAAGACTGATGCTCGTTCTGGAATACATGTTTAAACTTAGACCGATGAATATATGTGCCTGGTCCTACGGTGTAGCCGACTAACTGACTGAAACATTTATCAACCAGACGGATAGTGTTTGGGACTTCTTTTCTTCCTATTGTTTGTCTCCGCACAGTCGTCTATTTCCGGTCACTCAGAACAGCCACATCGAGACTATTTAGAACTGTGACAGTTTTATCCGTGTCTTCGAGTACCACTTTAGAATCACGACCTCCAATATTCAGTTACATTTCACTGTTTGTTTTTTCACGGGAGATTTTCCTTTTCCATAATTCGCAGTCGAGTGTTTGACTCGAAGAGCAAATATACGAAGCCAATGAGAGTTAAGCTCCGAGAATCTATTGTATGCGGTGGGACTTAAACTGATACACACCTTGTGGAACCGGTTTTACACATTACATTGCATTCGTTTCTCCACAGGTAAGGAACATTTGGCTGTCCTTGTTTATAAGTACAGCCGACCATTGTAAACGGAATGCAAGAGTGAAACATTCAATGAAAATACACAATGTAATCAATAGTGTGAGGATAAATTAAAAATGAGTACTACAAAACGGATTTGAATAAGATTTCCAACGTTAACCGAAATCATTCATGTTAAAGCAGACCAAGTATTCTTTTGATGCGATAAACACACAAACTTAAAATAATTCACTACAAGCTCAGATTGCGCTCAATTTAAAAGGACAGTGATATTGTTTGTCGTTGAGTTAAATTAAATGTTTTGATCGTAAAATACGCATCAAATGTACTATTTGCAATTTTTGCATCAAAGCATACTCGGTTGACTTATACTTCATTTATTTGGTCAACGATTGAGAATTCTTTTACGTATCCTGTTTGTGTCACCATTGTAGTCAGATTTCAAAATGACCAGCTCTGCTCATTAATATGGACAAGCATATTGTTTGTTTCATGTGGAGGAAGGGGTGTAATGTTAGGTGTGTAATAAGTGGTTTCATAAGATGTGCAACCGATTAAGCCGCATTGTATACAAAAGGTGCTCACAGCCCAACTC